TCCCATTGTTCATCGATGTGCTCAAGCAATCCCAGTAAGGACTCCATTGTGAGACTTATTGTTACTATTTTTGGCATACCGAATACATCATGGGGAGCTTTCCAGGCTTTGCTGTGCAGGCGAGATGCTCTTGGTAGCTTCCCGGGCTCTCTGAGAGGGGTGGAGGAATCGAACTCAGGTCAGCTGGGTCAGCTGCATGCAAGGCAAACACCCTACCCACTGTGCTATCACTCCAGCCCACCTAATAATAATATTAGAAATAAAGGAAAAAGAGAGATAGAGAAGAAAAGTGTTTGCATAGAGGCAGGCTGCTGGGGCTGGGAGTGGGAGGAAAACTGGGGACATTGTGGTGGGAAATGTGCACTGGTGAGGGGATGGGTATTGGAATAACTTTGTATCTGTGTATTTCATTGTGACTCAATTAAAAATTTGAAAATAAAAAATTCTGTGCTGGGTGGGCCGTCCTTCACGCCCGACCGAGGTCACCAGCTGCCCCCCACGAGCGGCTCTCCGGCATGGCCACGGCCCCGGAGGCACAAGGACTTAACACAGAGAGCCACCCGCCTGGAGCAGAAAAGCAAATGGACTATGTGTTAAACCGCACCACCATGCCTGCCTGGAGGGGAAAGGGTGTTGTCCTGCTCGCCCGCTCCTCTCTGCAAAGAAAGATGGCGGCCGCACGGGAGCCTTGTGGACAGCAGGTTTGAGCCGGGGGCGGGGGACGGCAGGGGCCTCATGGGAAGGGGGGCGTAATGGGCCGTCCTTCATGCCCGACCGAGGTCACCAGCTGCCCCCCACGAGCGGCTCTCCGGCACGGCCATGACTCCAGAGCACAGAAACCAATCTCTTAACTATCTAACTTTTAATAGAAATACTTGCAGGGTTAATAAGTAAAACAGCAGAAATCCAAAACCGCGCGGCCGCCATCATTTTATTCTTAAACCAAGCTGTAGAAAGCAAATCATTTCACAACGCTGTTTCAGCATATCTGATTGGGGGGGGGGCGGTCATAAACTCTAAACAATAATTGTGCATCTTCTATCGAAACAGTGTATCTAGTCAAAGTAGATAGAGTATTAACTAGAACTCATCTGCCACACAGGAATTGGGAGGGGTGGGAGGTGGGGTTCTATTGGGGTTCACGGTTAAAAATAAGTATTGGTAAAGGGAAATGTGTTTGATACTTACATGACTGAGACCTAAACCCGAAAGCTCTGTAACTTTTCCCACAGTGATTCAATAAAGAAATAAATTATTAAAAAAAAAATTCTGTGCTGGAAAGATAAACTTTGAGAGGCCGATTAAATCTCCAAATGGGCAGTGATGTGTGTGTGTTTGTGTTTGTGTGTGTGTGTGTGTGTGCGCGTGTGTGTAGTTACTAGAAAGTATTGTGGATACAGATGCAAATTGGAGGTTCATAAATGAATCAATATTCAAGATTATGAGATTAGATAGAATCTGTTAGGGCATGTGCATAGGGAAGACTGAAGTACTGAAAACTGTTGCATGCTAACATTAAGTGGCTGGGTAGAGTTGGTAAAATAGCAGAGGATATAGATATTTTCCAGTGATAAGAATGAAAGTAGAAGAATTTAATACTTCAGATATCAAGAAAAAAAGTTTCACAAAGAAGGTAATAGAGGGGACTGGAGAGATGGTTCAGCAGATAGGTAAGTCTTGCCTTGCACATAGTAGACCCAGGTTTGATCCCTGGCACTTATATGGTCCCCTGAGCCCTGTCAAGAACAACCCCTGAGCACAGAGCCAGGAGTAAGCCCTGAACATGGCCAGATGTGGCCTAAAGAACAACAAACAAACAAGTAAACAAAAAAGAAAAATAATGGACCATAAAAAAATATCTAAGAGAACAAGTGATCAAGTAAGATGAAGACTGAGAATCAAACAGTGGATTGTGGAAAGATGCAATTCTTTTTCTTAGGTCCTCAAGCATAGTGGGAGCTGGAAGGTAAAGAAACAGATAAATTTCTATGCAGTGGTAGGAATTATGTTCTAAAAATGTCAACAGTTTTCTGGATATGGATTGAAGATGGAGCAAGGAACACTCATTTGAGAGTCAAGAAAAGCTGCATGGAGAAGACGTACTTTTGAATTCTTACAGGCAGGAGGAAGAGAGAACAAATAAGATTTATAAAAACTAAAAGCACATTTTTAAAAGTTGGTTGCTATTTTTTCTTCCTTTGTGCAAAATTAAATTCTTCTAAAAGTGAATATTCCCCTATTACTCTCCATTTAGGTATATTTTTAGTTACCAAAATACCTATATTTAAAGGCAATCAATAATCTATCATGCTATATTTGGAGAATACTTTTGGGATTATATTTTTCTTATTGTAGTCTTTATCTTGTAGTTATATTTTTATTCATTTCATACTTGTGTTTCAGTGTAGAACCTTTTATTAATATTCATAGCTATCATATATCCTACACTCATCATATGTGAAATACTATTTGAGAGCTTTGCATAAATTAATTGTCTCACACACCAAGGCACTCAGAAGTGAAATACCACACAGTAATAATGTCAGAGCTAGTACTAGCACAGGCTGAGCCTTTGCTGCAGTGTGCTATTATTCTATCATCATTAGTCTGTCAATTGGTGTAAATCTTCAAGAAATAGGTTCTAGCTGATTTAAACTGCAAAGTTCTAAGTACCCAATAGCTCAGTTTCAGGCTGTCATTTCAAAATGGGCCAGTAGAACCCAGAGTCTAGTTAATAGATACATTTCCACTTGGAGAAAAGAGCATCAATTCTTTTGTAATTGATTAGAGATTACCATCTGACAGCCTAAGGACTTAGAGTCAATAAATCATATATGGGGAGGGTGGTGGTAAAAGGAACTAGAGTCTTTGTGATGGAGAAAGACTTTTCTACTGAAATGTTCATTTCATTGTTATCATAGATGTGTGTGTCTCATGCCTGCATTTCCTTTATAATCCAACTGAAAGAATATCAAATTATTATAAAAATGAAAAGGTGCAAAATAAACATAAGCATGTAGGTAGTAGAAATACAGAATACTCTGATCCTTAGAGAATCTAGTAATGGTTCAGTCTTTGATAACTTATGTTTTTTTTAGAGCTGATTTCTTTCTTGATGGATAGTTTTATCCTCTTTCCCCTGACACTACCAATATTGAATCACCTGATAGCTGGAGATTAGAATGCATAATTTCCAAAATCAATTGATAGCTCTGCTCTGAATAGATTCTGAGCTTTATCTTTTATCTGGTTACTGCTAGTTTCTTTTGCCTCGCAAAAAGAAGGCATAGAACAAATCACCTTGTTAAAACACTTAATAAAATATCCTATTAACTTTTAAATTATTATTTTTTGGGGTCTCCGAGTAGTGCTTAAGGGCTTCCTGAGTCACACTTACAGGTACTTGGTGGGCAGTATTGTGTAGAACACTGCACTCTGACCTCGTGCATATGCCCTTTGATCTATGTTTCTGGTTCACATTCTAGTAACTTTTTAAAGGTATAAATTTGTTAATTCTGTAACTTGATATTTTTCAAATGAATTGTCTTATTTTTACTCTGTTCTCTTTAAAAAATATTGTCTTTGTGGGAAATGTTTCTGGTGAAGGGACAGGTGTTGGAACATTGTATGACTGAAATCCAATCAGAACAACAACTTTGTAACTGTATCGCATGTTGACTCAATTAAAAAATTCTTTTCTAAGAATAGTTGTTATAATTTCAGAAATTCTCAAGGAATCCAACATTAAAATTTGCTCTTAATTTCTATAAATATAAAAAATCTGCCAAAAAAAGGATAGCGTTTTCATTGTTGTTTCTTCCTGTCTTCTATTTAATATCATAAATCATGTCAATGAAGGAGTAGAAGGAGGGGATGTAGGTGATTGTTTAGCACTTGAAAAGAAGCTACTTCCTACAGAAAGAGGATTTCAAATCACCACAAAGCAAAGCCAACACTCACACAGGTTTCCTGTGGGCCATTTCCCTTGTCCCAAAGCCAAGGTGGTAAAGGAGAACTTTTCCTCTAACAAAACCCCAATTCTCTGAGAATTTCCTATTTGTTCACTATGTAAGAAAGTTATAAAAATTTCTCTTTTTTTTAGAAGTTATAAAATTTAGTTAACTGTAAACTTTGAAAGTTTCATGAACTTGTTTTTGAGAAACTTAATAAAAGAAAAAGGGAAAGTCAAAATGGAGAAATTTAGATAAGGGAGCCACTGACAAAAAGTTAAGAACACTCAAAAAATGTTCTTGAAAGACAGAAATTGTGACTATAGTTTTTTAACTGTCATGATTTAAATATTCTGTCCTTTTGGGGCATACTTTTAAATAAAACAGATTTTAATCTTACCTTTCTTTTTTTCTTATTAAAACATATCGATTAAAGACATTTCTGCTAACCCAAGATATATTTACTAATTGCTAGTTAGAACTTTTTAACACTTTTCTCAAGAAAATAAAGTACAATGGGATAGCACCAATAGTTATTGAAAAGTGAATATTCTAATATTCAGTAATCAACATTTTCTTTTATGGATGCTGTGAGATGAAATATAAAAAGAAGCAAGCACATTTCTTTTACCATATTTTTTGAGTTAGTGTTGATTTTTCTTTTTCTGTAAAAGCAAATTGTGATACAATTGTATTTTAAATGTTCCCAATAAAAAGTTTAGGATCTTCAGGATAAAGTTGAGTAACATCTCTGATCGCAAATGCTAGAGGGTAGTTCCATGTATTTCCTCAGAGTTATGTATTTGATTTGATGAAGGAAAAAGTGTCATAATACAAATGAATTTGTGTCATAACATAAACAGAACAAATTGTTCTATCAATTCCAGCAAAGTGCTCAGTTCCTTTTTTTTTTTAAGCTACCTGGTTACTACCAAGCCAGCAACTGATACGATACTAGCATTAGAAATAATTAATCCTGGGCCCTCTGAAGTGTGGGTGTCACCCTGGCATCATTCACACCCCACACATCTACTTTCCCACTTTTCTTACCTGCATAGTGGTCAAACACAGTGGGCACGTATTCTTCTGGGAAGGCATCATTGGCGTAGCTCATCAGCAGGCAGGTTTTTCCCACGGCACCGTCCCCCACCACCACACACTTCAGCATCTTCTTCTCTTCGTTGCCACTGCAGCCACAGCTGCTGTCATTTCTCTCCTTGCAGTTCATTGTTGCAGTTCCAGCTGTGGCTGTTCTGCTGCTGCTGTTGCTTCTCCTGCTACTCCAGAAGCCCATGAAGTGGGGAAAGTCAGCGGCAGGCTGCCTTCACTCACTTTGAGTACCTTGGGATCAGAGAGACATGTCCAACGTGGCTGGCATGTGCCCTCTGGTTTGCCATGCTGGTAAAGGAAGGTAACACCCAGATGGACTGATGGAAAGAGTCTGTCCCGTTTCCTATCAGCTGAGTTAAGAAACCCTCATTATCACTAAATTCCAGGGGACTCCCTGACTGTCTAAAAATTTCAACTGAGATTTTCTTTATGCACTTCTTTTCTCCAGCTTAGCTAAAAACACCAGAATTTTGCTAAATCTTCCCCATTTTTAACTTCACGGCTAACATGGAGGAAAGCTAGGCTTTTAAATGGAGTTTCCCCTTGCTTCCTTCAGCTTGCTGAGTGTCAGGAAATCATGGGTTTCCTGCTGCATTCCATATTAGGATCAGTGGGCTGGGAAGGCTGCAACAATGGAGCTCTGTGTGTGTGTGTGTGTGTGTGTGTGTGTGTGTATGTGTGTGTGTGTGTGTGTGTGTGTACTTCTGGGGAACGCTGCCAGGACACGGAGTGGGAAAACTCTAGGGTCCCACTGCAGACTCAAGCTGTCAGACTTCCTGTTTCATCCACTGCTGGAAGGCTGTTTGCCTGTGGCAGGCTGAGAAGAAACTGATGGAAGGATGGAAACTGGGGAGTACTGTCTGCTTTAGAAGCAGAGGGAACCGTTTAAGTGAACAGAGAGAAACACATCAGCTGTTGTAGGATAACATATGACATCATCCCTCACTGAGTCACCAGTTAAAAGCTCTGTGAATTAAAAATGGGCAGTTCTTCACATACTTAAATGAGACATCTTAAGCAATTTGTCCTTGCAATAAAGACGAAACCCTTCCAGAGTCACATTGTTCCAAAAAGAAGTATTTTATAGACCATAGCTATAATATGTGTGATTCGTTTATAAGCTGCCACATTTGAGCACAATGCACAAAATACATATTACTGATATTTTTGTGTGCTTGTAACACATAAGAAATCAATCAGATGTGGGGTCTTTGCATCTTATTAGTGAGTAAAAACACACGTGCTTGGCTCACACTACTGGAAATGAAAGTGTGAGGAAAAGCTTTATTAGTTTGCTTCAGGTCCCCAAATGCTGCTTGGATGTTTCCTATTTTATTTAGTCTTCTCCTATTGAGTCAGCCTGGCTCTCTTCAATTACAAAGGAGTCATTGGCAGCTAATTTATTTGTCTGTTGGGTCACTCAAAATGAAGCCCCTTTGAAGCCCTCTATTTGATTAATGTACTTGGTCTTACAAGAGAAGTGGAATTCTGAAAATGGTTTTGACAAATAGGTGAAGTACTTTTCTGATGGAGGAACTGTTTCTTTGTGATTTCTAAGTTTTTGTTTTTAAAAATTCAGATAGAAAAATTGATTTGTGGAGGTTACTTTTGTGATTAGTCTGTTTTAACAGGTGACTATCATAATCCATATATATATGTTCATATATGGATTTGTATGAGTATGGATGTATATGCATTTTATACCGAACTCCTCTGAAAAAGTTGTCTTTTTCATTTAGATATAAAGTTAACGAGAAAAATAAAGTCAAAACCTGTGTACAGTTTGCATGTTCTCCTAGTGTCTGTGTGCATTTTGTGCAGGTACTTCACTTTCACATCCAAAAGATATACGTTATATTCAGTTTCTATGGTAAAAGTGGTTTCATGAGTTTTGCTTAAAGTCACAGTTTTCACGAACCTATCTATAATGTTAAGTGAGGGTTTACTTTATAAAATATATGGCTTCAAATTTATTCTGATTTGCATTGAAATTACACTTGCTATATACAGTGTCCCAGCCTTTCTCTCTCTCTCTCTTTCTTTCTTTCTTTCTTTCTTTCTTTCTTTCTTTCTTTTTCTCTCCTTTTCTTTCTCTCTCCCTTTCTCTTTCTTTCTCCTTCCTTCCTTCCTTCCTTCCTTCCTTCCTTCCTTCCTTCCTTCCTTCCTTCCTTCCTTCCCTCCCTCCCTTTTTCCCTCCCACCCTTCCTTTCCTTCCTTCCCTCTCTCTCTTCACTCTCTCTTTCTTCTTCCCTCTCTCTATGTTCCATGATTTATTGGCTCATATTGTATCCATAGTGTGTGTGTGTGTGTGTGTTGTCATCAATATTGAGAATGATAGCAATCACTGTGTCAAAAGAAGAGATTAATGTGATGACAAGTCATTGACTAAGCATTTTCTCTGTTTTTGTTTTTGGGTCATACCCTGTAGTGTTTGGGGCTTACTCTTTGCTCTGTATTCAGGAATCACTTCTGTCAGTGCTCAGGGGACCATATGAGGTACTGGGGATAAAACAGTGGTTGACTGTATGCCAGACAAGTGCATTCATCCCAGTATTAACTATCAGGCCTGAATCCTAAAATTTTCTTCTAGAGGTGATACTTATACTCATATACATTGTCCAAAGTAAGTCATATACTCATAGAGTTCAATAGGGTTGCATATAAAATCCTGTCATAACCAGGGAGGAGAAAGCCAAATATCGATGAACAGCCTGAGTAATTTAGCAAACCAGAAATATTCTAGTTCAGTTAGATGTTCAGAAGTTAAATTATGTTTAGTGCTACCATGAATAATTTGAAGACATTTACAATTTGTATAGTCTGATAATTATGCCATCAAAATTTATATAAAATATAACATATAATTTTATTTTTATTTTTCCCACCTAAAATATCAGGCATATATGATACTACAACTTGTAAACTTAGGCTTTCTTCTAGAAAAAAGAGGCTCTAAAGTGAAAATCGAGTAATGATTTAAAGATAAAAAAGTGAGTCTCAATCACTCCACCCTGAATATGATCAAGACTTCTTTTTTTTTTTTTTTTGCTTTTTTGGTCACACCCAGTGATGCACAGGGGTTACTCCTGGCTCTGCACTCAGGAGTTATTCCTGGCGGTGCTCAGAGGACCATATGGGATGCTGGGAGTTGAACCCGGGTCGGCCACATGCAAGGCAAGCCCTACCCACTGTGCTATCTCTCCAGCCCCCAATCAAGACTTCTTTGAGCAGAATGTGACACTATCTGGTTGGAAGAACTTTGAGGAGGTTCTGACTTTAATCTTTATTGCTCAGGCAATAAACATGACATGGAGTGAACAGTTTATTGGAATATAGATTTTTAAGCCATGGATACCTGCCTATATTCCTATTCTATAAATATTCCCAAATCTACTGATGACTTCATATAGAAAAAATTATGAAATTAGGTGAAATTTTATTATATCTGTCTATAACTTAATTTTTGCAGAAACAGACACAGAGATGAAAAGTCATGCTGACTGATATTTTCACTGCAATTTGAGATATATAAAGAATTAAAGCATAAAACTCAAGGATTTTTTAATCTGTTAGATTGCATTATAGCAAAAATAGTCTACTCATAGAGAATGTTGACTTGATTTCTTAAATTAAGCTGCTCACTTCATTATTTGCTTATATCCAAATGGAATAATTATCATAAACAAACATTTGAGATATCCTAGTAAATATGGCAAGCTATTAAAATTTTAATAGTTTTCTATGAATTACATTGTTCTTGTAAGAATAAGTTGTTTGAAATAGTAAGTTATTGACATTTACCATAGTAACAGAATTTTTAAAAATGTAAAGATATTTTGGCATTGTTTTTGTAGGTACACAAGTCCATAGAACTGTGACCACTTTTTCAGATAAAATGGTCAGGAGTATCCTTTAATACCTAATGTTTATAAGAATCAATGTACAAGAAGTCTAAATGCCATTAATTAAAATATTTCCCATTGGATTCGTGTATACTTTTGTGCCTTGGGCCATGTTAATGATTGAATATGGTTTTGTAAATTTTAATTACTTGGTTTATCACAAATACCATATTTATAAAAACTTATAAATACATGGTAAAATTTTGTTGGGTAGTATTTCCTGATTTTTTCCCTATGAACTCTTAATTGTGTGGGTCCTTCTTGTTCTATAAACTTTGGTTTCACATGAATTTCCTCAGATACCAATAGAACATTTAACAAATAAAATTCTCTCCTGGGTGGGGGTGGTAACATGGGAGGTAATGGAGGGAAACTGGGAACACTGGTGTTGGAAAATGTACACTGGTGGAGGGATGGGTGTTGGAGCACTGTATGATTGAAACCTGATCATAAACAGCTATGTAAGGGTCTATCTCATAGTGATTCCATAAAATATAAAGATAAAACTCTGTTCTGATCACTTTTAGTTTTAAATTGGTTTTAATAAGAGCCTAGACTTTCTCCCCCTCCCCTTTTTTTGTGTTTGAAACTTGAAGTTCCATGGGGGAATAATGCAATTGTATTGCATCCTCTGGTTGTGGATTGCCCTCTCCTTAGGAGACTGTTTTGATGTCAGTCTTAGAAATGTGAGATGTGCTGTGGTTGCTATGATTTCATGATCCTTGATCCAGTCATGAGTCACCCCCATTCCCTCTCTGGGATTAATATGAAAGTCAGCCCCCTGTAGATATGTGCCTTGTGTGAGGAGCAAGTAGTTTTAGGAGAGCTATCAATCTCCCAGAGGGCCTAACCCTCTAGGTCAGTAGGGGACTGCTAACCTTAACAAACTGTTCTCAGACTGATGGGTTGGAATCACTCCTCCCCAAGGGAAATGAGTCATTGCCCTCAGGAACACTCATGTATCTGAGTTTTTTTTTCTGTCAGGCCACCTGTTCTTAGCTCCTGGCTATGTTTATGTCATTATCATATTTTATAATATTATATAATGTTCTCGTGCCGGTATTTAACCTTAGATGGAGTTTACCTCCCGCTTTGGGCTGTACTCCCAAGCAAACTGACTCCGGGAAGACCACTCCAGGACACTTTCCAAACCACATGGCCATGAAGCAGCCTGCAACACATCATAATACCCATCTTCCTGGATTGCCGCACCATATTTGATAGGGTTCAAATATGGTTTGAACCATGGGAACACCTGCAAGGGCAATTAGGTGCCACCCTAAAAGCCTTTATCCCTCTCAGAGAGCCTGACAAGTTACCTAGAATATCTCACCCAAACAGCAGAGCCTGGCGAGCTATCGGTGGCATATTCGATATGCCAAAAGCAGTAAATACATTGGATCTCATTCCCCTGACCCTGAAAGAGCCACCAATATGGCAGCATTAAGAAGGATGAGGAAGGAGAGGCTGATAAAATCTCAAGGCCGAGCTAGGCTGCCAAAATGAAGAAAGATAAAATTGACTGTATTTTCAATGCACATACGTTGGCATCGGATGCATTCGAGGACCTGATAGTATAAAAGCGAAAGATCTAGTACGACACCATTAGT